ATCACTGGTGAGAGGGGAGAGCGGAGTGAAAAGGGGGGTAAGAGGAGAAGATGAATGGGGAGAACTAGTGTTCATATTGTTCACACGCCCCTCCTACAAGACTTGCTTTGAATGTTTGCTTTACGTTCAGTCCTCCAACATCTGCCTTAGAGTTCATCACGTACCCAGAGGCCCTGTCTCTCATGCCATTTTCGGCTCCATTTTTGGGCCGTCTGTTTTTTTCTCACCATATTCTTCTTGGCATTGACTCCCAGGTGAGTATCCAATCTTCTTGACATTGCCACTAGTTCTCCCACACACAGTGCAGCACAACCAAACTCCGCACAACACAACAGAACTTCCTGCACCAACGTAACTGATATACTGAATAGACGAGGATAAACACTAAACATTCTACCACTCTTTCCTTTTCAGAAAATATAAAAATAGTGTGGTGGCCCTAGGGGGAAAATTTTACCAAAATACAAGGAAAAATTAGCTGCCGCTAATCAGCTGATAATGAAAATGAAATTGATTTTCCCAGAAACAATAACAATATATGCAAATATAAATAGTTATACAAGTGTTTATAAGTATTTAAGCAAGTCAGTGATTATGCAGAAGTTTTCGGGTTTTTTATAAACCTCATTATACCTAAAATGTAATTTTTTTTTTATCTGTAACTTGCTAAAAAAAATAGCATCGCGACCCCCCCCACCCGACTCTGTTCTCCCACAGTATCGCTCACATTGAGACTACAACTATGTCACTGGTGGACAAGTCTCGTGTGTTTGGTAGAAACCGAGGCTGGGTGACGCCATGCTGTAGTGTGTGCTGCAGCACTGCCCTCTCCTTATCTCTGTACCAGAGTAACTACCTGAATGACGCCTCCACACACACTTCACCAAGATCATATCTGATTACCTCCCATTTCCTAGTGCTGGTGTGATTCCTACAGTTTTACGCCTCCCCAGTGAGTGCATCTCGTAAAAATTTTAACGTGCAATAATTTGTATGCAGTTTGTACCCGGTACTGGTTCATATAGCATAAAAGTTTATGACCGAACTGGACATGAAGCAACCCAGGAAGTGAAAGGTAATCAATTTGATCGCAAGGGAGTTTAAGCTCCGATTCATTGAATCAAAAGCACTTCACCTGTGATTTACAGCACACCCTTTGAAAATGTTGTACCCTCCCAGTTACTCCTTTCACAATAAACTTTTGATCCAAACGGGTTACTAGCTTGTTTTTTAAACAATTAAATAATACAAGAAGAGGAATCAGGGCCCTCATCTAGAACAAGCAAAAGATATCTCCCATTCGTTGGAGCAAGAGCCTTTCACCACTCCAATCGTTGAAAGAGAGAACCTCTTCATACACTGGAAATTCGGTAATTACAGATTCCACTGCAACAGTGTATCTGTAATTACCGTATTTTCCGGGCATATAAGGCGCAAGACAGAAGTATTGAAGTAAACCAGAAATCATATTAAAAAAATAAGGGATAAAAAGGTATGGTTAACAAGGGTTATTACGCTCTTACTTTACGCCAAAGCGTAACCCAAAGCCTCCCCTACCTTGAGCATATAAGGCGCAGGCTATTTTCCAATACTTTTTTTAAGTAAAAAAAGGCGTGACTTATAGCCGGTAAATACGTAGTTTACCGAGGTTAGCGCTTAACTCCATTACATTATTAATAATGTCTCTATAATAGCGGAAGGAGGATCGACCTCCAGCATTACGTGCGCTAAATGACCCTCACGTTAATGGTTAAAATAATAATGACGTTTTTCCAGGGCGAATCTACTGCTGACGCTGGTGGACTGGGACAGCGCCTCCTTCCGCTCGTCCTCAACTCCCTCAGCGAGGTCCTGGTCTTCAGCTTCATTATGTTATTATTATTCCATTCACGGGGAAGTGCTAGACCCCGTAGGGGGTCATACAACATATTTGAATGGAAGGCAATCATGTTTGATCCAGAAAAAAAAGGGGAATGCTTACTTGCATCTAGGAGCTCCTCGATAGAAATCTTCCCCATTTTCCCTTGAGATTTACATGTATTGATAGAGACTTTTACGAGTTTTTCTCTATCTACACTAATCTACATTTATACATGGAATATAATTGTGGTTATATTCACAAGAAAGTAATAAAGCCGCATGGGGGTGATAAATATGTACGCTGCAGTGCTGTCAGGACGGTGCGTGATCTGCAGATGAGACCTCTGAAGAATGGTTTACTACTGTTATCTGTTCTGGCTCCTGTCACCCCCGCTCGTCTAGCTGTTGAGTCCTGGTTCCTGGTCACCCCCCTCGTTCTGCTGGTGATTCAGTTCCTGGTCACCCCCTCAGTTCTGGCTGAGGTGAGTCTTGAGGGGGGGGGGGTTCCTGGTCACCCCCCTCGTTCTGCTGGATCTGGTTTCCTGGTCACCCCCCTCGTTCTGCAGGTGGAGTCTGGTTCCTGGTCACCCCCCCCTCGTTCTGCTGGTGAGTGTTTCCTGGTCACCCCCTCCTGTCTGGTGATTCTGGTTCCTGGTCAACCCCCCGTTTCTGCTGGTGATGTCTGGTACCTGGCACCCTCCCTCGTTCTGATGGTGAGTCCTGGTTCCTGGACACTCCCCCTCCTTCTGCTGTGAGTCCTGGATCCTGGTCACCCGCCTCGTTCTGTGCTGTAAGTCTGGCTCCTGGAACATACCCATAGGAAAGTGAAAACTGAGTGCAAATTTATGCCAGGATTCAAAGGAAAGAGAGATGAATCCGGAAAATAATGAAGGACAAAGATGTACTACAATGCAGAGAAAAATATATATTAATTCATCCTACACCTAAGCCGCTCAAAAATCAATCTCTCACTGGCACTGAAAGAATTAGCAAAAACATCTGCATAGGGAAGGTACACAATAGTATAATTATCATACAAAAAGTAAATTACCTGGATAACCCCCCCAGAAAAGACAGTGACTTATTTCATTGGGTCCTTTAATAGCTTAGTAATCAAAAGCCTTAGAAATTAAAACAGTGAAAATCAGTTACAATGGAAGGGAAATATACTAGGAATAACGTAGAACGGAGGTTATTTGCATTACATTAAAGCATGATCAGCATTCAATAAAGGTGACGACGAACGTTAGCAATACAGATACCTGCATGCACACTCCTGCATTAAAACATAGATTTAACAATTATTAAATTAACAGTCAAACAAATATATATACCTAGTAACACTTAAATCGCGTGTGTTTTGTGCATCACTGAATCTTCATCAACAACATGTGAGCAACGCTCCTACAGCTACAGAGGGAGGTTTCCTGCTGGGTGCAGGCTCTAGGCTGGGTTCCTGCCCTTACTCCTTAGTTGCCGTCCCTGCTATTTGCGAGTACTACATCACCTGCGCGATCCAGGGGCACCCTCACAGCAGTGAGCACCAGTATCGTTTTAGCAGGTAAGGTGAATATAAATTCCCGTTTGTTCCGACTGGATTAAGGAAATTGAACGGTTTTACTTTTTTTGAGTCCCGGGATCCCGTGTGTGATGCAATTCATGTACCTGTTCAATACTCCTCGTCCTCAACTGCTGTTTCTCTAACCTTGTCCTCACCTGAACTTCGCTGTAGCGTGTGGTCGACTGGCGGCAACCGGGTCGAAGAGGTGGGCCTTTGGAGGAGACTACAGAAGGAGTGTAGGTCTTCTTGCCTCCAAGCATCCCCTCCTCACCGCCTCCCTCCACCCAGACGCACCATTACCTCGACCCATGCACCAGGAAAAAGGAAAACACCTGCTGCCCGGTCATCATAACACCTGAATCGCCGCTCCTGATTGACTTCGACCAAGTCCGACGAAGTTGAGTGTTGCAGGAATCACGGTCATTGTTTCAATACTGCCAGCAACAATTGTCCTCATGTAAATAAACAATATATTCACGAGGAAGCTTTAATCCTCATGAAAGTCATAAGGCTCCTGGAATGAGAGGGTAATCAGATTGATCCACAGAGAAAAAAAGCTTTATTCCTTGAACAAGGGCCCTTCACCAGTAATAAGTACCTCTCTCTCCTCTTTAAAGAAAAAATTCGCTAGGACTGCAAATAATCATTGCTTTGTCTATGATCGATATATGGTCCCAAATTGAAAACATTCTTTATTTTATTTAGTATATTCCTTCTCGTCCCCCCCCTTGTCATAGAGTCTGTGATGTGACACTACGCAACCATCCACTGGTATACTATTCTACGGTGTCTTAGGATAGCATTTAGTAGATCTTATGATAAATAATTGTCTTGTAATTTTCAAAATAAAAGAAGTAAGGATGAGTTTTTGTAAATAGAAATTCAGCCATTCCTGTTGAAACTTCCAGTTACTAAGCATGTATTTTATGATCCCTTTTAAATATTACTTAAAAAATAAGTGTGTGTTGTTCTACATAACCTTACCCTCAAGTGAGGTCCATGGCGCTGTTGAGGGAAATTGATCAGTGTTCCAGATCCCTGAATTAGCAAAAAACCTTCCAGTCCCCCCCTTCCACAATACGCGGTAGAAAATCCTACGGGTTTCGCGCTCCCATGATTATAATAATATATACATATCCTTGATAATAACAGCCCCTCGTGAGTATATAACCTCCTTGTGTCTTCTAGGTATGTTGTTTAATTGGTTTTTAAAATCTTTCGGGCTCCGCGTAACCTATTCACCACCAAGAAGAATGCGTTAATGCTAAAAAAGAAAAGCTCGAAGTATCACGTTACATACACTAAAAGAGATAGAATCACGGTGTATAAAACCTGCTTGTTTTAATATTCAAGACAAATGAAACGCTGTACTAAAGACGTGGTTTTAGTTTTCGAATCTTTTGCGGGTGAAAACTTCGAAGCCCAGGCTGGGACCCCCACTGTGAGTAAGCTACCTGACTGCGGTACAGCAGTCATTGTTGAGAGAGAATACCACAGTGGTGAAGCAGGAGCTCGAGTGTCATACTGGGTGCAACTCGTATGAAGATACGATGATCATACAACAACACTGGATTAAGCCCAAGTGTAAACAATGAACCATCAGATTGTCAATGTAATTCTGGGAATTTAATTCTTGATGATATGAAATAGAAATTAAGTTTTTGTTGCTTTTTTTTTCACCTAGCTATGACGCTAATCGGGTGGTTGGGATTATGAACTAGTCGATTGTGGTAGGCTATAGTTATTTAAACTGCTTCCTGGTAATTAATCGTACGTTTGTGTTTACTTTTTATATTTTTATTTCTGAGTCAAATGTATACCCGGTGAGATATATTATTCCTCGTTAACTGTAACACTGTGGAAACTTAATTTCCTGTTAAAGGACACGTTTTTTATTTTTCTTGTCCTTTGATAATTCTGGGGAAAGGATTGTTTATCTTCGCACGTCCAGAGGTCGCCGCACCCTGCTGTCCCAGACCAGCTTGCTGGCCTGTTCGACTAGGCTGTCGACTTTATCACAATATTAAAGTAGATCCCACCACCATTTAGTCTTCCGTCTTAGTCTGAATCCATCAATAAAGTTAATAGAACTGTAAAACTAGGCTAGTGAAAATTACTCGCAACCAGCACCTCCACCTGGAGCTTCCACTCAGACAGCTGAGTTCTCTAAAGATTTAAGGCGAAATGAAATTCCTTGTTCACCCCTCAAGGGAGGTTCTTGGACGCTGGTGAGGGGCTCTTGTTCTAGGAAACTGCATCTTTGCTCCAGTTCCCCGAATTAAGCCTGAACACTTTCCATCCTCCCCCCTACACTGTATAATCCTACGGGTTTAGCGCTTCCTCTTCCTTACAATAATGCCTTATTCTAAATATTTCATTTGAAAGGATAAAAAAAAAAAACAGGAACCTTTTTTTTTTTTTTTCCCCAATTTAACTTAAAATACCCAGTGACTTCACTTTTTTTTTATTTTATACCTTATTCAAACTTCCATAATATACTTTATTAGTATTTAATTGTCTGCACGTCTTAAATATGTATAGACCAACACGGCAAGTAACTTGTATAGATCTAAAGTGATATCCAGTTCTCACAACACCAGATATTCTCTAGCTCCTTTTTTTTTTTTTTTATACCGCGCCACACGGAAGTGCCTTGTTGGCGGGAAGGTGCTCTTGATCCAAGAAAACTTTCCTTCCCCTTCTTTGGATCGAACTTGAATATTTCCAATTCCCCAGGTGCTATATTAACCCTATGGGTTTCATGCATCCTTTTGACTGAAGTCAATAATCCAAAGTAATCAATTTTTGTTTTCACCCTAATTAGAGGGTTGCGCATATTAAGGAATATAATGTTACTGAAATTACGGATTAATATATTTGCCTCAAATGATTCATTGAAACTAAGACTGGTAAAAGTGTAAATAGGAAGAGACTGCCTTGCAGATCGCTCTTTGGTTGGTGCTGGTTCCAACACCTCCCTCTCCAGTTCTCCCTTGCTGGAACTTCATCTGTCGCTCTTGTTAGTTCTGTGTAACTCTGTTCCCAGAGCATAGCCTAGACTGATTTTCGACGTTTTAATGAGGTTGTGTGTAACACTGTCACTGAGAAACTCGGGTCCTGAGTTGTAGCTTCTGGCCTAATTTGTACTGGTATCTGTGCACCGTCACAGTCGGGGATTTTCTTATGCTGAACTTAGATTCAGTAGTATGGGAGTTTTGTGACTTTTGTGGAGGATCTGCAGATGGTCCCTACTTAGTGTCGTTATGTTATCTCCTTGTTCCTGATTCTGCGTTGCTGCTGCTTGTTATATTGCTGTTCGGCGAATCAGTCGTCTTACTGTTCAAGCAAGCTGTTCTAATTGCCAGGTTGGTCAAGAAGTTAGTTTATGACTGTCAATCGCTGGTAGTCTTGAGACATGGTGAACTACTTAAAGCACTTACACACACATTGTATATATTAGTATTATGTTCTTAAATACTGACAATGTACCAGACGGTACTTAAAAACCATAGATATGTGCCTTCAGTGTAGGAACTTTAATCCTATATTAAATTGATATACTTTGATTTTGTCCACCTGAGATATTAAAATGAGGGATAATTTCACTCTAGGCATGAATATCCCCACGTGACTTTAGGTCATAATTCAGTTTCATGGTTTTTATTAAATTGCTTTTTCCTGATGTACAAAGTTACAGATGGTGTTGTACACCAGAGTGTTGTTGCCTGGGTTCTGCTCTTCACCTACTGGCTGGTCTTGGTAAGTTTTGGTTGACTTTGTAACTTGGTTATAACATTCATTCGCAGGGTATTGATGGGTTCTTGCGGGATTACTAAAGCAGTTCTCAAGAAACTTGAATTTAATATTTGCTACTGCCATGACTTCCTAAATAATAAAAAGCTCCTTGCAGTGTGTGGCAGTGTTCGGACTATGGCTTTTGGCACTAAATTTCGGCAGTGAGCTGGAACTTCCCCCAACCCCTCCAGAGATCATTTCAACCTCCACAACAACCCCTTATGTAAACCCTTACTATTATGCACACAGGTAAGTGAACGCGAACCCTACGCGAGTGAAAACTCTCTTGAAATCTTAAGACCTATACTTGAAATTTGCTTTTTTTTTTTTCTTTGTCCCTGTTCTTCCAGGCACGATTCCTCCCAAGAAAGGCAGTTACCAACTCGCGAGTTCAGGGCCTACATTGCTGCCACTCACCGCTACGCCAACTACACTTTGGATCCCAGACTGTACTTGGTCTTGCCCTGCGGTACAGCTTTACTTGCCGCTGGGACCATCATGCTTGGGGGAGTTTTCTCCAGGAAGCTGTTCTCGACTACTGCTGTAAGTTATTGAAGACTCAGTCGTTAACCAGGCTGTTACTGGCCCGCTGGCCCACATGAACCACAGCCTGGTTGATGTGGCACTTGGTGGTAGTGATCCAGTTTACTCCTACACTTGTTCCGGCAACATTTCTAACATTTACTAGTATTAAGTTGAATAGTCTTTGCTTACGGATGTTTTTTTAATGGCCGTGGTATCCCTGCTTTTCACTGGGTCTGTTTTGCCTCTCCCCCATCTCGCACAAACACGTTATGCAGTGTAGACAGGACTTGCCCTCGTATATCTTTCGGGTGCATCACTTAGCTCCGGAGAGTACATTCTCAGAATTTTGGGGTTCCTATTAGTTCTAATACATTACTGGTTTATTCAGACAGTAAAATGTCCTAGTGCTCTCCCTCCGGTGACCGGAACAATCAAACTATCCTAAGAGCACAAGTGGTTGGTCACTAATTTTTTTTTTTTTTTTCGGCACATGTCTTTAGTCTTTAAATAACAGTTCATCGGACATTATTCCAGGGATTTTTGTACATATTTCTCCATATTTGAGCAGTTGGCATTCATCCTTGAACCTTGTTACCCACCGGAACCCCTCAAGCAAGGTTCCTTGACGCTGGTGAGGGGCTCTTGATATAAGGAATTGTATCTGTGCTCAGGTTCCCTGAATTGCGCCTGAATACCTTCCGTATCCCCCCACAGGCACTGTATACTCCTACGGGCTTAGCACTTCCCCCCCCCCCCCTCTTGATTTTAATAATGCCCATGAGAAACCTTTCAAAATTTCATCATTTTCTACCGAGGAAACTTTTATTCTTTTGGTATCTTCTGGAAAGGATGACAGTTGTGGTCAGTTGATTTATCTGCTGTTAGGAGGAAATGGTAAAGGCGCAAGGTAATTAACTTTTTAATGTACTAAAGCTACATTTTGCATTTTTTCTGCTAATTATAAGCATTGATAGAATTTGGATGTACTGGTTACCTTATGAGACATCAAAGGTAACAGCTGTCAGATGCTTTAGCGAAGTCTAGATAACATATTTGGTTCTTCCAAAACCTCCGTTATCGTCTTAGTTTAATACCAAGCATGATCTCGACGCTCTAGGCTGGAATATTGCTGCACACTAACAGCACCTTTCAAGGCAGGTGAAATTGCTGACCTAGAAAATGTACAGAGAACCTTCACGGCGCGCATAACTGAGATAAAACACCTCAATTACTGGGAGCGCTTGAGGTTCCTGAACCTGTATTCCCTGGAACGCAGGAGGGAGAGAGGCATGATTATATACACCTGGAAAATCCTAGAGGGACTAGTACCGAACTTGCACACGAAAATCACTCGCTACGAAAGCAAAATACTTGGCAGACGATGCAACATCCCCCCAATGAAAAGCAGGGGTGTCACTAGCACGTTAAGAGACCATACAATAAGTGTCAGGGGCCCGAGACTGTTCAACTGCCTCCCAGCATACATAAGGGGTATTACCAATAGACCCCTGGCAGTTTTCAAACTGGCACTGGACAAGCACCTAAAGTCGGTACCTGACCAGCCGGGTTGTGGCTCGTACGTTGGTTTGCGTGCAGCCAGCAGTAACAGCCTGGTTGATCAGGCTCTGATCCACCAGGAGGCCTGGTCACAGACTGGGGCGCGGGGGCGTTGACCCCCGGAACTCTCTCCAGGTAAAGAGGTAGTACTTTCCCATAATTTTCTCTTCCCTTTGGAAGATTCCGCGTGATGCCGAGGCTACTGTAGGGGTGTTTTGTATGGTAAAAGAAATTACCATGACAAACTATACCTTCAAAGTCTGGGACTTTTTTTTTTTTTTTTAAAGTATATTTTAATTGGTATCCTTCATAGTATGAATATTTCATGTAACTGTTGTCACCAGGGTCTGCATACGTCTGCCGTGCTGTGGGTACTGGTACTAGTGATTATGATTCTGTACAATGCCAATGCCGTCAACTTCTACAGTGAGAACACACTGCTAGCGTCTGGCTGGGTGGTGGGTGTCCACGCCAGCCTCCTCCTCCTCCTCAGTCTGCAGGTAATGATTACAAACTTTTAAGACTTCCAGGCAATTTTGTCAGCACAGCTAAACTTTTTTTTTGGGGGGGGAGAGGGGGAAATAATTTTAATGCCTTTTGCTTCTCAAATTTGTAACCATTGTTCTCCATTGCTAGGTGTGTATGAAGTTATTTACCTAAAGTTGGCTCGCTCCTTTAAAACGTTAAATTTCCTTATACAAGGCATGTTGGTGCATTTTAATATTTGCCCTTTAGGTTTCTTGCAAAGTTTGCATTACTTTTATACTTCTCATTGTGCAGCCGTTTTATTTTTACTTGGCACTGTTTTATCAATCCTTTCGTGGCTAATTTAATTTTAATCTTTTAGGCACTAGTGCTAGTTTGATAGCCAAAACTGAAGTCCCCCACACTTAAGTTATGAAGTTTAAATTAAACCTCTGGTATATTCTACTGTCAACACTGGTAAACACCACCTGTACTTTTAAATCATAAAGCTAGGTCCTAGTTAACATGCATAACTAGACACGTCAGTGGGCCCCCTCCACTGTACTTTCCATCACAATAGCAACATAGCAAGACTTTTTGGCGTCGACTCTTGGTTTCTTTACAATTTTCCTCTAATCTGTTTATACCATTATTTCTTTGATCCCACTAATGTCCTCTAACATATGACATCACTGATACAGAGAAATTGGTAAATGGAGAAAAAAATCCCTTGCAGCTAGTGATGACCATATGGGAGCTACGGAGGCAGAAGACTGGTTGGCCGACGCTGGTGCCTGGGCAGATCTTCACTCTAGGCGCCATGCTGATAGCTGGCAGGATGGTGAGTTTGGAGAGGGTACCACTGTTAGTGTATGTATATTGATTGGAGTTTTAAGGATTACAGCGTATGGGCAGTCAAGTTGCAAGTGGGAGATGGCGGAAGGAAAGTGCACGCGACTCTAGCTAAAAGATAGTTTCAAGAAAAGTAGTCTTGGTATTCATTCCTAACATTAGGTTTGTCAGGTTGAAACTTGTCCATAATAGGGTAAAGTTGTTTATGGATTGTGATTTGTGCAGTTAAAATTTCATTATACTATGGTAACTGTTCTGCAGACCCTGTCAGTGTACTTTACTCTGAACTTCTACAACTCTTGGATGATATTCGGCGTGCAGGACTTTTCTACCAACCTAGACTTCTGGCCATCGTCTGTGCTGCGCTTCCCCGAGCAGTACGTCCTACCCTGCGCCACTGCTTGTGCCTACGGTGGCACCGTTGTTATTCAGGATTTGTTCTCTCATTTTATGGGTCCAGTAAATAACGTTCTGGTGAGTGTACTGGCAACGTCACTGTAGCTGCTCAACTTTTTGGTTTAAATGTGCGTTATGTAGTAACATGGCAGTCATTAATGTGGTCTTGTGCAGACGTACTTTTACATTTATACAAGTGTGAGATAAAAGTATTAAGACAATGTTTGACACTACCTGCTAAGTATATGGCAATGATAGTTTTATAAAGGAAACTTGGGCACACGTAGCTTATTCTGTGTAAGGGAAAAATCTCAAAGCACTCTGCAGACGTTTTCTCGAAGGTTAAGTAAATGACAAGGTATATTAACATCGGTTCTCACCACTGTATCTACATCAGTCTGGCTATCATGATGGCATTACAATAGGACTTCAGTTTTTTAATGTTAACAAATGTTTACTAAAGGTAATTTTTTTTTTCAGAGGGCCTGTACCGCTACGGTCTGTGCATTACTTTATATCAGTATTGCAGTAATTACTTCTCCACTCTTCGTGAAGATTATAATCGGCTCTTTTGTAAGGCCAACACTAATGGTTTTGGCAATATTAACCAGTATATTGAGTGTCTTGCAAGCCATCTTGTGCTTCGTCATCCCAGATGTACTAAAGGAGACTCCAGAGGTATTTAGGGTGATGGTCAGTCGCTTACAATCTTCGGCAAGGTTTGCTAGTGAAAGAGGATTCAGGCCATCGTCCATAACACTCGCTAATGTCGAAGATGCTGTTGACACGGGGAAAAACATTGTTAATGAAGACATTACATGTAACTTCTTTCTGCTGGTGAGTACCGTTAATTATTCGTCAGTAAAGATTGCAATGCTTGCTTTAAAAATGTTCACAGGGCACCACTTTCCTCTCGTAGGGCAGTGAGGTATATGGGTAGGGGGCACATTTAAGAAGTACCCATAATCACCCAAAGGATGCTTAAGAGCCCAGTAATTTTTCAGCATAAATGGTAGTATTTTCAGCTTTTCTGACTGAATTATGGGTCTTAAATTGCGAAATGTGAAAGACTAAATTGTTATACTTCTAGTGACTGGTGGGCGGCTTTACTTGAACTACCAAGTGAGTGATTGTCAATAATATCTTTCTAACTTTAAAGCTTGTACAGGTGCAGGCGTGTGTGGCAGCGGTACTGGCAGTGAGTGGTGACTGGAGTAACCTCTACATCACTTGGGGAACTGTAGTTATGTTGTGTGGTGATGCTGCTGTTCTCACCAGGATACTCCCATCCTTTCTGGTGCAGCTAGCTGCCTTCACTCGCATTAAGGCTGCTAGATTTTTACAGGTAATGTTTGTAATTCTGATGTACAGTGTTTAATTTTTACATAATTGGCTCGTGGTAATTGAGTAAAACATCTAAGTAGCGAGCGCAGTGGATCCTGCAGATAGGTTATGTAGATCGGTGTTTAGCCTTTCACAAGAAACCCTTTTTCTGTAACTTGCATATAAAGCGCACAAACTGTCCAGTAGCCACCTCCTTGCAGGCGTTTCCGCACCCTGTGATTCATAGCAGGTTTGCTGCCTGTGGGAACTCGTTTAACTGCCCACGGCTTCTACCTATTCGATGAAGTCCTCATTTTTTTTTTTTTACTTTTTTTAAGTAGCACTTCTCTTATTGCTTGTAAGACTGTTTTTTCTTAGCTAACACTAAATTATCTTAGGCCAAAGCATTTAAAGTGTTACTTTCGCATTTACTCTGTAATTGTTGCACTAACCTTTCAGGTAACCTGCCTGTTATTAGAGTGCGCTTTGCTGTTGGTGGGGTCTGTGGCAACCTTCTGTATGGACACTTCTGTTGGTCACACAGCAGCTGCTGTCGTCAACCTGATCCTCGGGTTTTGTCTGGTAACTAATCTCGAATATACGTTGTACAACTTGAAAGGTATCGGTGAACGGTGGCGGGTTTGTGCTTTGTGCGTATAGGAAGTGAATTGAAATTACCCAATAATTTCTTAAGTCTTTCCAATAATCTTAACGTGTTATCCCTGATTTTTTCAGGTATCTTTATAAATTTACAAAGGTTGCAGACATCTACAGTAAAGTACAGAGGCCTGTACTAAAATCCGATGTAATCGTGGAGATCTAAAGAAAAGACTTAGAAATTCCACATTCTAAAAGATTAGTCAGATCAGTTTTGCTAGTGGGCATAACTTTAATGACAGTCCTCGAGCTCTGGTAAAAAGTTTAGTCTTTAATGATCCACAAACTGTTTAAGATATAAACGGCCTTGTTAAAAATATTTTGGGGGCGTCTGACCCAATTTTCCATCAAATGTCACTTTGACTCTAACACGGGGTAAAAAAAGTGGTTGACTGATTCAGTTGAAATTTTGCTTAGCGAGTTTTAACGGCAATGACAAAAGATGAGCAATTTGCATGTTTTCCAGTGCAGCTGACCAGTATGAGACTAATTTTTGTCCTCCCGTTCAGTATGAGAATTGGTGAAAACCTACAGGAGTGTTCGGTCAGTGAAAATGTTAATCACGCTTAAAAATTACATTCTTTTTTGTCAGAAATGAGTAATGAAAAAAGTACCTTCTGTCCTACTAAAATCCATAAGAGATAATTACCGAGGCCTCCTTAAGGTAATCATCTCGGCAAAGCTTGAGACCAGTGTGTTAGCTCGCTTTATGCACAGCAATCAATTTTCGACTTGAATATAGCGTTGTGTGATAGCTTTATTTAACCTACAGTTCATTGTAAATAGCTGACTTCCCCTTCTCTTGAAAAATTTGAAGACTTTTTAACATGCGAGTTAGAATAGGTTATGGTTTAAATTGGCATTTTGAGGACTGCTAATCAAGACAGCAAATAAATATTGATAGCTAATTAAGATAGCTGATAATGGCAGTTTACAACAAAACCAGCTAGTATTTGAAGAACCAAACTGTTATTACTTGGCAAAAAAAAAAAATTGGTTTGCGGTACTTACTGACTTGATTTTTAAAGAATCCTCATTTTTTACTAGGTTTTTTAAAATTTTGGGAGCCGCACTGTGACTTGATAAATCTTGCCCTAAATACCTCTTCAAGGGGGGCTCCTTGGCGTGGTGAAGAGGTTCTTGGTCTGAGGAATTAGACCTGTCAGTTTCCTTCCTCAGACCGAACCTAATTACCCCCCAATCCCCCCTTCCCTCTCCCATCCTCCCCTTTTTCCTTTCCTCCTCCCCACCCCTCCCTTTTGCCCTTCCTTTTTGGCCTTTGGGATTTTTTCCCACTGGCGCGCTAGTTCCTAGGTAGGGGAAAGGGTACCGGGGTCCATCCCATTCCGTTGAGGTTCTTGGCGGTGGCGTAGTTTGCCGTGGAAGTTTCTCTCCAACATGCGGTCGACAGCGTTTCCAATTGGGCCACCACACATGGTTTAAATTTTCCAGTACCAAAACTCTCCAAATTACTTTCACTAGACGCTCTGTCGTCTCCGATCATCCTTTGTACCTCTATGGCTCCCGTATACCTGAACGTGATAGTCAGGTTTCTAGGCGCCTCTGACCGTAGGTTATCCTGGAAACCTCACATTACCTCTCTGAAGGCAACTTGTCACAGCCGGCTGAACCTTCTTAAAACCCTTGCTCATTTTTCATGGGGAGCTGATCGTCGAACTCTCCTTCGCCTACATTCCGCCTTCATTTTATCGAAACTTGATTATTTTGACCAGATCTATTCAGCGGCCTCTCCTGCTACTCTCTAGCCTTAACCCCATTCATCACCAAGGATTAAGTTTATGCCTTGGTGCTTTCCGCTCTTTCCCTGTTTAGAGCCTCTATGCAGAAGCGAACGTTCCATCCTTATCCGATCGCCGTGATGCCCATTGCCTTCGCTACTATGTACGCTCTCATGATCTCCGCAATCCTTCCATTTATAGAATGGTCACCGATATTAGTAGACATTCTTTATTTGTTCGCCGCCCCTGTTTGCTCCGTCCCTTCTCCCTTCGCCTACATTTGCTCTTGTCTGCTCTTCAATTACCACCTCTGTTCATGTAGCATCTCGCTTTTCCCTGCCCCCCCCCCCCTGGGAAGTTCCAGCTGTTCGAGTCTTTCTCACTCCCTTGCTCAAAAGCCCAACCGTCTACGGTAGCTTCCCGCTCTTTCTTGACCACTTCCACTCTCTCATGCCATTGCAGTGTACACAGATGGCTCTAAGTCTTCTGACGGCGTAGAATTCACAACAGTGTTTCCGGACAGCGTCGTACGAGGGCATTTACTATCTTCGGCTAGTATCTTTACTGCTGAACTGTATGTCATTCTTGCAGCACTTATCCGTATTGCATCTATGCCTGTCATCATTTGTGGTTCTCGCTCCCTTAGTGCTTTACAGGCTATACAGAAATTTGATACACCTCACCCCCTTAGTCCTCCGTATCCAACTTTGGCTACGGCGCATCTCTTCCAAGCATAGTTTTTTTTGTTGGGTCCCTGGTCATGTTGACGTACAGGGCAATGAACAGGCACACTCTGCTGCGCGGTCAGCAGTACATGACCTACCAGTTTCATAGGTGTTCCATTTACGGACTATTTTGCTGCAATAGCTACCCACCTTGACACCCGTTGGCAACAACGTTGGTCTACTCTGCTCGGTAACAAACTTAAATCTTGTCTTGTCACCAGTGTGGAGGTTGGGAGACTACTCTCTCCCGTCTTCGCATTGGCCATACTAGTCTTGCTCATGGTTCTCGTGGAAAGGCGCCCTGCTCCTCTGAGAATAATCAGGTTCCACTATCGGTTAGCCACATTCTATTACTGCCCACTTTATCAACGAGCATGCAGAATATACCTCCGTAGTCTTCGCTCCGCTGCTCTCTACCTTCCCTTCTCGCTGATGGACCCACCTTTCATCCGGACTCTCGTTGACTTTTTGACAACTGACTGACTTCACAAACTGATACCTTCAGCCCTTTCTACCTCAATCTCTTGCTACCCTCTACCCCCGCACTATCCCCTGCCCCGCTGTTTTCTGTAACCTACTGATCATCCCTGCCCCCTTCTACCGCCCCATACCCTCGCTTCCTTCCCTACCCTGCAGCGCTGTATAGCCCTTGTGGCTTAGCGTTTTTTTTGATTGTCATTATTTAGGGCAATTATCTTCCCATAGTTTTCAAAACCTCAGTTTGCTAACATCTGTTTCGTAAGACTGAACTGAGCACAGCGACGTTGCATTACTCAGTTCAACGAAAATTTTAAATATTGCAATTTAAAGAATATAAAGACGTTCAAAAGGATGAAGACATTGAACTTTGACCTAACTTCGTGACAATTTTATTTCCTAATCATCCTAGTAATAAATCTGTCCTTACCATGGTATCTGTGAAAATTGTATAACTGTTGAACCTTCACATTCCTAAATTTCAGTTAAACAAGGTGACGTTCAAGAAAGTTGTTGGTAGCGATGGTGGCGGCAGCAGCACTAGAAACGTCTCTACCACGACTACCAGCAGCACTTCCATCACTAATACTAGCAACAACAGCATCCTCACCAGCAGAGAAACTGAGGGGAGCGAGAACATTGGAAAGGAAGAGAAGCCCTTGACAGAGGCTGGACCAGCTGAGGCTGACCAGCACGAGGCTATAGAAAATACCAAGATCGTTTCTTGAATGCTTTTCTCTGGGTGTAGCTCAGCAAGATGCTCGAAAGATGCATTAAAAAGCACTAATTTGCATTTAATTTGTTTTAAGATTCAAAGTATCGGTCAACTAAGGAAATCTTATTTACCCGTTTTTTGAGAAGCTGACTCGTGTACATTGGCAAACTGATTCACTTGCCGTTTGCATTATGCCAGAATATCCTTAAATTTTTCTAAAACGAAATCTGGTTGAACTCTCCTCATGGAGGGTTCTGTGTAACATGCCAGTCCTAAAACCACCAGGACAGTCTTGTAGCAGTTTGTGCATTAAAAAATATTTATGCCCTAAAATTGTTCATTTTTATAAAGTTTGAAGGAATAAAAGTATAACATCAGCCACCTCTGTTTAATGTCCTGAACCTCGACCGTGTTAAATTAATAAAACGTAGTCGACGAGAAGTGTTGACCTGAGTGCGGATGTTCTTACTCGCCCATCCTCCTTGATAGCCTTTTCAAAGCCACCAAAAGTAAACGAGGGAAAGCGACCCATATTAAATATTTTTTTTTTTTTTTTTTTTTTTTTTTAACTAGAGCTGGTGAGTGTTTCTTGATCTGGGGAATTGGATTTGTTCTCTAGTTCCCTGAATTGAATCTGAATACCTTCCATCTCCCCCACACGAGCCGTGACCCTACGGGTTTAGCGCTCCCCATTATAATTTTAACGAAAGGAGGTAATGACTCAAACCCATATTACCATACTTTAGCCTACCACCGACGATATGCTTACTGGTCGGTAGCAGTGCTTCCGTGTGTGACAGTATGTTAGCGTTGAAAAAAAAATCCAGTTAATGGGGTTCCTCAAGGGAGGTTCCTTGATGCTGGCGAGGGGCTCTTGATCTAAGGAATTGGATCTGTGTTCAAGTTCTGAATTGAGCCTGAATGCTTTCCATCCTCTCCCCAGGTGCTGTACAATCCCTACGGGTTTAGCCCTCCCCTTGATAATAACATTGAATCTGCGCCTCCAGAAGCTAAGAAAAGTCTGTGACAGCTCCAGTATGACCTCAAGAGAGGTTCCTTTACGTTGATTACAAGTTCCCTGTCCCTTAAACTGGACCCGCGCTCCCCTTAAACAGAACCTGCGCTCCCCTTAAACAGAACCTGAACTCCGCTAAATCCCCCAGGTGTTGAGGGGCCCTGCAGGTTTCAGCGCTCCTCCCTGAATGTCTTTGCTGTCTGCCTCAAGTAAATGCGAGTCCTACAAGAGATAAAATTAAGAGTTCGCCAGGACGTGCGTCTTTGGTATTTATTCCTCTCATATACCCCTCAGTGGAGGTTATTTGATGCCGATGATGGGCTCTTGATCCAAGGAGTTGAATAGACTTAATTCTTTCATTCCTTCCAGTGCTGTATGATCCGTACAGGCTTAGTTTCCAAATTAATGTAATTATTTGAAGGGATTTTTATCCTTCAAGGGAGGTACCTGAACGCCGGTGAAACTCTAAATAAAGGAGTGGGTTTAGCGCTCAGTTTTAATGGTAAAGGTGGAGCTGCCCTCTTCCCTGTAACCAAATCGTTTCTCACGGCGCTGTTTTTTTCACCCACCCCATTGTTGTCGCCAGTCCGATGTATCTGTTTTTTTTTTTTTGGGGGGGGGGGGAGAAAGTAGTATGGTAACAAATGTTTTATATTTATAACTAAATTTTAAAGGGGTGGACTGGTAAGCCAGCGGTAAGCCTCTCAGATGACCAAAAACTCGAGGCGGGTCATCATGTGACTAAGACCCGCGTCAAGAAACGGTTGTCCTGTTTTCTGACGTACATTACCTAACTAGCATGTAAGATTTAATGGGTACAGTAGTTTGAAGTTCTATGCTTGTCATGGATATTTTAGTTCTGAATTAGTTTTGTATTTGCATCCAGTATACATTTCATTTTTATAATCTGTAGAGGTGAATAGTTCGCTCCGGCTAAGCAAATTCCACCATTTTCTTCCAGAGTACCTATTAAATTTATTGAGGAAAAAAAATACTGGAACTTAATAATTTATTCATACAAAAAATATAACTTCTAATGAGTATCTAACAAATGTATAAAAAAAAACTTTATTCTAAATATAACGCAGCAAGACCCACAGGATCCTATTTGGTCTATTTTCAGAAATAATGAACGTAACTATCTCAACTCAAGCTGCTTACAGTGCAGAGATCGTCAGTGTGTATACAAGCTTGTTGCTGTATAATCCTCCGGGTTTAGCGCTTCCCCCTTATAATAATATACAAGCTTGCTAATATTACATACAACGTTGTACAAGAACATAACAGCCTCACTGAAAGTTTGCCAGATAATGTTATGCTTCAGCAACATCAGTGGACATTAACTGAGCTAGTAACTAAGCCATTTTCACATTTGCCATACTGCACTGCTGCAAAAAAGTCCTATAGTTTGCATTTAAAAGTTATCGACTACGATAATTGCCACTAAGGCTGTGTATACCCTGCACCAATTAAGAATACTGTAAACCCTAAACAATTCATTAAAGTAAACTTTCAGTTTACTTCAACACAGAAGAGATGAACCTCATGTATGTATGTATATATATAATATAGTTCCTTGATAATGTGTGAAGTCACGAAAGCGCTTGGAATTTCGCTATTTTTCAGTGGTTCTGCGCGCGCGCGCACAAGTGTGTGTGTGTGTGTACTCACCTATTTGTACTCACCTATTTGTGGTTGCAGGGGTCGAGTCACAGCTCCTGGCCCCGCCTCTTCGCTGATTGCTACTAGGTACTCTCTCTCCCTGCCCCATGAGCTCTATCATACCTCGCCTTAAAACTATGTATGGTTCCTGCCTCCACCACATCACTTTCTAGGCTATTCCATGGCCTGACTACTGACTGAAGAAATACTTCCTAACATCCCTTTGATTCATCTGAGTCTTCAACTTCCAATTGTGACCTCTTGTGTCTGTGTCCCATCTCTGGAACATCCCGTCTTTGTCCACCTCGTCTATTCCGCGCAGTATTTTATATGTCGTTAACATGTCTCCCCTGACCCTCCTGGCCTCCAGTGTCGTCAGGCCGATTTCCCTCAACCTTTCTTCATAGGACAATCCCCGTAGCTCTGGGACTAGTCTTGTTGCAAACCTTTGCACTTTCTCTAATTTCTTGACGTGCTTGACTAGGTGTGGATTCCAAACTGGTGCTGCATACTCCAGTATGGGCCTGACGTAGATGGTGTACAGAGTCTTAAACGAATCCTTACTGAGGTATCGGAACGCTATCCGTAGGTTTGCCAGGCGCCCGTATGCTGCAGCAGTTATCTGATTGATGTGCGCCTCAGGAGATATGCTCGGTGTTATACTCACCCCCAGATCTTTTTCCTTGAGTGAGGTTTGCAGTCTTTGGCCATCTAAACTATATTGTGTCTGCGGTCTTCTTTGCCCTTCCCCAATCTTCATGACTTTGCATTTGGCAGGGTTAAATTCAAGGAGCCAGTTGCTGGACCAGGCTTGTAGCCTGTCCAGATCTCTTTGTAGTCCTGCCTGATCCTCGTCCGATTCGATTCTTCTCATTAACTTCACATCGTCTGCAAACAAGGACACTTCTGAGTCTATCCCTTCCGTTATGTCGTTCACGTATACCAAGAACAGCACAGGTCCTAGGACTGACCCTGTGGAACCCCGCTTGTCACAGGCGCCCACTCTGACACCTCGTTGCGTACCATGACTCGTTGTTGCCTCCCTGTCAGATATTCTCTGATCCAGTGCAGTGCCTTTCCTGTTGTGTGCCTGGTCCTCTAGCTTTTGCAGTAACCTCTTGTGGGGAAACTGTGTCGAAAGCCTTCTTGCAGTCCAAAAATACGCAGTCGATCCACCCCTCTCTCTCTTGTCTTACTTCTGTCACCTTGTCATAAAACTAGTAGGTTTGTGACACAGGTTTTTCCCTTTCCCCTGAAACCGGCTGGTTGTCAATTATACACTTGTTTCTTTCCAGGTGCCCCACCACTCTCCTCCTGATGATCTTCTCCATGACCTTGCAAAACTATACACGTTAGTGATACAGGTCTGTAGTTTAGTGCCTCATGTCTGTCTCCCTTTTTAAAAATTGGGACTAAAATTTGCCATTTTCCATACCTCGGGGAGTTGCCCAGTTTCAAATGATGTGTTGAAGATCTTTGTTAATGGCTCACACAATATCTCTGCTCCCTCTTTAAGGACCCATGGAGAGATGTTGTCTGGTCCTTTGAGGTGTCAAGTTCGCATACCAGCTTCATCACCTCCTCCTTGGTTATATGTACCTCATCCAGCACTTGCTGGTGTGCCCCCTGTTCTGATTTCTTGGAGTCCACTGGTTTCCACTGTAAATACCTCTTTAAATCTTGTGTTGAGCTCCTGACATACCTCTCGGTCGTTTCTTGTGAATTCCCCATCACCCTTCCTCAGTCTGATTACCTGGTCCTTGACTGTTGTTTTCCTCCTGATGTGGCTGTACAACAGCTTGGGGTCAGTCTTTATTTTTGATGCTATGTCTTTTTTCATTGTCTCTGGCCTCCCTTTTATCTGTGCTTTTCGTTTCGGGCCTTCGGCTGATTTTTTTATTTTCCTGTTTTCTCTGTCTTCTGTCCCTTTTTCCTTCTCTAGTACCCCTATTTTTGCCTCCCTACCCCTTTTGGGTGGGGGGGGGGTGTGTGTGTGTGTGTGTGTGTGTGTGTACCACCTTTTTGTACTCACCATTTGTGGTTGCGGGGTCGATCCTGCTCCGGCCCCGCCTCTTCACCGGTGTGTGTGTGTGTATATATAAAAATTTTTTTTTTATATATATTTATATTTTAAAAATTTACTGTCAAGGTTTTTAGGGTTTAAATTTGATATAAATAATACCAAATATAAACAAATTCAGGTTTTGGTTGTCGGGTTCCGTCACTGAGGGTAATGAGGCGCTGCATGCCCCTATGATAACGATCCCCCATAAGTAAAATTAAATTATAAAAATCCGGAAAAAATATTTTTCTCCGTAACAAAAAGTGCGACGTCCTTGAACACGTCTGGAGAGAATAAAAAATACCGACATATAAATGCAAATAGCGATTTTTTATTGTCACTTTTTCGCCCACCAGTGGATTACCCACTCGATGATAAGCCAATCGTGGGCGAAATGTCCTCAATAAAAAAAACGCTTAACGTTTTTTTTTCAAAGGGAGCGAAATTTTTTTTTTATTTTATTTAAAATGGGGCATTACAAAATTTTAAACTCAGTAGGGCATAAAAATTAACAAAAACCTACCTCGCAAATTCACACCCCCTTTACAACCCGTGGGGTACACCCCCCCCCCCCGCTGTTCCCTCATCCTGTCACAAAAAACCCAAACCTGTTGGAGCTACCCAAAATTTTTACAAAA